CTTTAATTTAAGATATATATAAAAGTGTCAGTCCTTCCGGAACATTTTCAAAAGTTAAGTTGAAAAAGTTAATTTTTTGTGAAAAAGTTGTCATTTTAAATCCCCCCCTGTGGGCAATTAAAAAGTCAGATTTACATAAAACATATTCCTAATGATAGGTAAAGACACCATGCATCTATAAAAAAAAAAAATTATACTGATTTGGTCATTTTTGATAAAGTTTAACAGTTAACAAAGTTATAAGTTTTATACACTGTACTACAAGGAACTTTCATCAGAAAAATATAATATTCTAAATCAATATTTCGAGATATTTTCAAATATGCAATTAGACTAATTTTATCACTTTTAAGTTTTAATATTATTAAAAAATAGTCTACATATAAAAAAAAATAATTAAGAACAAAAAAAATTGTTTTAAATTAATACTGATTTTGATTATTAATATGTTAAAAATAGATTATTAATAAGTTAAAAATAAGGAAAATGACATATTTAACCAATTTTGTTAATCGTTTAAAGTTGATTGTTGTAAATGTTTATAAAAAAAAAAAAAAATTTATTTTACCATAACTTTTAGCTCAATTGGTAAGTTTGACATTGACATAATTAAATAGAAAATTTTATGACAATTAAAAAAATTGTATCGTTAAGATCAATATGCAGTCAGAAAGTTTTATAATTACTATTTATTGTAAATTTATCAGAAAAGCTCAATATTTTTTTGCATTTTTATGGTAATAGATAACTTAAATACCTTTAGTAATAGTAATAATTTCCTAGTAACTTTTGTTCTTTGAAAAGATTCTACAATTGAAATATTGAGAACTTAATTAATTTTAATNTCCTTTAGTAATAGTAATAATTTCCTAGTAACTTTTGTTCTTTGAAAAGATTATACAATTGAAATATTGAGAACTTAATTAATTTTAATGATTTACTTTAACTAAATGAACCAATCAAAACAAAGTTGTTAAAAAGATTTACTCAATTGAGCGTATTATAAAATTTGATTATATTTGTAAAAATCAATTGTTAATTCAGGAGAAAAAACAATCATTTTTTTTAGAAATGATTTATATAGCAACACGTTAGAAAAAAATTTGAATATTATAGTCTAATAGTAGCACACACAAACAGAGTAATAAAATTATTAAATTACAAAGTAAAATGATTTAATTTTGTAGTTGAAACCTATCATATCAAACTTCATTCGTTAATAAATATTTTGAAAACATTAGAAATTAATGATTTTAATTGTCTTTATGGAGACGATGTAATAACTAACTGTTTAATTGATAAATTAGAATTTTTTTTTCAATTTTTGAGAGTAATATCTTCAACTAGATACGAATTGTAGTAATTTGACGTATTGTTGAAAAAAGTAGGTCAAGTTAGAGCAGAGAAAATAAATGATAGTCACAAAAAAATATCTTCTCGGCTTTGCATCGAAGCGAAAACTTAAAATATAGTAAAATAATTTTAATACGAATAAGAAATTTCTTCTTGCAAGGGGCGACTAAAGTGATGGGATCCTTGATCTTTATTGAAGTTATTGAATCTAAATGTGATAAAAATCAAACGAGTTAAAATTTATACTAACTTAAAAAGAATTAAGAAAAAATGCAAAAAATTCATTGCCCTACGCGGGTTGGAATCTCGTACCCAAAGCGTGTAAAACATAAGTTTTACCAACTCGGCAACCGTACGTCGCTAAGTGGCTAAAAAAAGTGGCTATTTAAGCTAATTCAAATTTCAAAGTTATTTTTCTCGACTTAAAAAAAGCAAACAAATTTAAATAAGTTTAACTTTCTATGCTATATTAATTTTANAATAAGTTTAACTATCTATACTATATCAATTTTAATTTATATAATATTTATGAAAATCTGTACTCCCCTTCTCAGGTTTTTTAAAATAAAATAAAATACAAAACCCAGAATTTTAACACAAAAATAGGAAATTTTTGAATACGGTAGTCATTTTTACCATGACGACAAATCCAGAGGTCAAATTTTTTTTTTTCAAATTAAAGTATATTACATAAGCTTTAATTTAAGATATATATAAAAGTGTCAGTCTTTCCGGAACATTTTCAAAAGTTAAGTTGAAAAAGTTCTACTTTCTATACGCATTTTAAAAGGTTTGCACCCCCCCTGTATAAAGGGAAATGGTCCGATTTTAAAAAAAAGTATGTCGAATGAAAGAAGTATATATAAAGTATTTATCATTAAAGAATAAAGTTGATTCATGCATTTTTTAAAAAGTTATAGCAACATAATGTTAAAAAATGTAAAATATAATATCAAGAATTTTTTCACAAAAATAGCATATTTTTGCATACGGTAGTCATTTTCACCATGAAGACAAGTCCAGAGGTCAAATTTTTTTTTTTCAAATTAAAGTATATTACATTAGCTTTAATTTAAGGTATATATAAAATTGTCAGTCTTTCCGGAACATTTTCAAAAGTTAAGTTGAAAAAGTTAATTTTTTGTAAAAAAGTTACCATTTTGAAACCCCATCCTTTGGGCTGTTAAAGGGTCAAATGTTCACAAAAATATATAAAATGATAGGTAAATATCTAAGGTATCTATAAAAAAAAAAATTATATTGATTCGGTCATTTTTAAAAAAGTTATAGCAATTATAAGTAAAAAAAAGTGAAAAAATATCGAAAATTAGCGATTTTTAAATTTGTAATTTTTTGNAAAATATCGAAAATTTGCGATTTTTAAATTTGTAATTTTTGGGGGGATTTCCCCCGTTTACGGGGAACGAGGGAATTTTTTTCAATTTTTGAGGGTCATGTCTTCGACTAGATACGATTTGTGATCTTTTGACATATTGTTCATCAAAATCGGTCCAGCGAGAGCTGAGATTGAGCGTTCACAGACACNAGATACGATTTGTGATCTTTTGACATATTGTTCATCAAAATCGGTCCAGCGAGAGCTGAGATTGAGCGTTCATAGACACAAAAAAAAAAAAACACATCATAGTAAAATTAATACCTTCTCAGCTTCGCATCGAAGCTAAAAGAGTGGGAGTGCAGTAGTTTTTAGCGATGCTCTATTATTACTATAACATACAAATGGAATTTTTTTACGTTACGCACTTCGGTTGCCTTAAACTAGAAATTATAACAACTCAAAAAGTAATCATATAATACTGGTTACCGTCAAAATTTTATATAGACTTGTTCATTTAATAGTTAAATAAAACAATATATTCCCATTTAATTATTGAAATTTTACCCTAACAAATAATTTCTCACAATAAACTTGAGATTTATAATGATCTTATTATATAATAGAACAAGGAAAAAAACACTTTTCTGGGAAAATCACTTAGCGTAATCGGATTTTCAAAATATTTTTTTCAACAAAAGTACTCGGTCATCAAACTCCGGGAAAATTATTGGCGAAGGTCGGAAAATTTTTGCCGCTCGCCCGCGAGCGTTTTAAAATTTCCATCGTTTACGAGAAAAACGCTCACTGACGACAGCGTTTTACGACTTCAGGTTTGAAATTTTTACCAGACATATTCAATGACATTCCTAAGATATAATAAAAAAATCAATTCAATCCGTTCATTTTTCACTGTTTTACTTTTTGAAAATTTTTTTTATCTTATTTATCTCATATTTGATGTATAAGACTATGAGTTTATTGTAAAAATTGGCATCCATCTATGACAACTATACTGTCTAACGTCAAAGCACAGTAATCAATATTCTTATCAAAATTGACTTTTTTACATAGTCCTAGGAATAATAACCTGCCGATTTTTTTTTTGCAATTATTCTATAATATTAATACAATTATTATAATTAGAATATTAATAATTGTTGTGTATACCAAGGGCGTATTTAAGGGGGATATGGTTCCAATGACCTTATTTTAATCATTACTTTGATTTTTAACGAAAAATATCTATAGCATGTTTGCCAAAGTAAAAAAAATGAAATATTTTTCTACAATGATTTCTGAATACGTCCCAAGTGAATACTTCATTAACAAACGTCAACCTTATACTCAATACATTTTTCTCTTTTTGAATTTTCCTGATTTAAATAATTCAATTTTTAATATATTTTTGTTACACTGATTCTGATGTAATACTTTTTTTTCTGTAAAACACTTATCGTGGCCTACTTATGATGACGGCCCGAAGAGGCTTACGGCCCTGAAGTTGTATAAGTCTCGTAGGGCCCCGGGCTCGGGGTGGAGTCCAGATAGACGAAGCCTAGTTTATATATAAAAAAAATTAAATTATACTTAATCAATACGTTTTTATGGAAACATTATTTAACGAAAAAATGGGAGTTAGTATATTTAATAATTCTCTTTCCATACAAAGTGTCTTAAATCTAACTGTCAAAGTTTATAATAATAATTGTTTTGTTGATTTTAAGTAACTATAGCTATCTTAGATTACGTTTAACGCATACTTTTTATTATTAATCAATAATAAGAAAATTAATTTTATTTTTGGTAATTTTGAAAAAGATTTTTTAGCTCTTTTTTGTAATATTTTCATTGATCAATGTTAATTTTAAGTACTTATCAATTTATAATTGATTTATTTGAATAAAAATATTATTATAAATATAGAATCTGCGAATGTAAAATGTATGAGTCTTGGCGCAGGAATGCAGCAAAATATATTTTTTTTATCATTTAAAACTCTCTAAATATTTTTTAATTTTTTTTTTTTTTTGATACCATACATTGTTAAGATAATATGTCAATATAAATAATACTTACTACGATCTATATGATTAGGATCCGTTATATCTTTCTCTACGAATATCATTTTACAATAAATAAATATTTATTTTATCAATTATACCTATATTNTATCTTTCTCTACGAATATCATTTTACAATAAATAAATATTTATTTTATCAATTATACCTATATTTTAAATAAATCACCTATACTTCTGACTCCTCTTCCACATTTACACAACTTCCTGCGTTTTGGTAATTTAAAAGAACAGTCGCCACAAAGATAATGGTTACACGGTTTTAAGTAAACAGAAGGCGCTTTATCTAGACAATAAAAACATTTTTCTGGTATTCTAGGTTCAGCAGAAGTGAATTTTTCTACATTATAAACACAAAAAATATATTAGATTTAAAATAAATAATTAACGTATTAGAACTTTGATTCAATTACAGTACAGTAAAATGGAATCGAGAAATTAATTAGATTAGTATTGATTGATATCTGACAGTTATTAAAATTACTATAGTAAATCTTTTAAATAAAATAAATTAAAACAAAAATCAACACATTTACCAAAAATTTCATGGTTTTTGACTTTAGAGATTGGTTCCGCACATATACAATATGAATAAATACGATAAATGTTTTCCTTTTTTAATCATATATTACATTAAACGAGCTTTATTTGGATAATTTAGAACGAAGTAAGTATTCACTACTATGTTAAAAATTACAAAATTAGCCATTTTTTGTATGATTTTTTGCTTAAATAACCAATATTTAGAAATCGAAATTTCGGATAGTTTTTCATTTTTTATTTTGAATATTGCAATTAATTACAATGACCGCAAATTATCGTGACACTACCGCTAGAGTCGCCGATTGTTTTAAGTATTAACAATAAAACTTCACAATAATCCATCCAGTTTTCAAAAAGTTATTTAATAAAAATTAATAATATCAACATTGACTGTTTTATAATAACTGTAATTTTTTGATTCTCTTATTACTATCAGATATAAGAGGAATTTTTCAAAATTATGGCACTGATAGATTCATCCAATTACGTTTTGTGATGTATCGTTGAACAAAATACGTTTAGTAGAAGCGAAAGTAATAGGAACATAACAAACACAAAAAAAATACGGCAGAGTAAAACCGATAGCTTCTTAGCTACGCCTTGAAAATAAATACATGCAATTGTTTTTTTACTAATTAAAAATTATGCCACCATAGCAAGTACTATAGAAGTAGTAGTACATTAAAATTCTAGCACAAAATAGTTTATTTTCAAGTATATCTAAATATATATTTTTTTCTCTTTGCGTATTTTATGGTGTATGCTAAACTAAAAATATGTTTTAATTACTATACCAGTGAAGCAATTAGAAAATATTTTTAGGGAGAACTAGTTTCAAATCATATTGATGATTTTAAGACTACAAAAGTTAAAAATTACTATTCATTTCATGGAGAGATATAATAGAAGTAAGAATTTTTTACCCTCTCCAATTGAAATTTTCAAAACCTTAACCAAAATGCTATTAATAAAGCAACTGTTTTTTTACAATCATAAGTAATTTTATAAAAATTTATTACCATTTTCAAAAACAAAAAATAACACAGCTAGTATTGTTGAGTTTAATAATTTCTGAAACAGAAAATTCAAAAATCAAATTAAATAAACATAGTTACGTACAATAGAGATTTGCCATAATAGAGATAAGACATAATAAGAAACATATTAGAACATATTAGTATTGATAAAAATCTGACAGTAATTTTAATAGCTATTATAAAATTCTTCAATATGATGATGCACCGATGAAGGGATTGTAAAATTTTTTCAACTAATCATCAAAGAAAATTAAAAAAAAGGGGCCAATTAATAAAATTATGTTTTAATATTATCTACCTATCATCATGGATATCACTCATACAAATCACCCATGCATACCATAAATAATATAAAAACCTTTAAATCCTTTAAAAAGTATTAATGCGAAATAAAAATGAAATTACGTATTTTGTTTTAACAAGTGACTGTCAAGGCTTTTGTAAAAATTACGATAAAAACATTTTGATATTTATTTAAAAGACCAACATCATTTTTTTATTAAACTACAGCTAATCGCAAAAACGCGGTTACTATAAATTATGTCCTGTAAGTCTCAACAATGGAGCCGTTATTTTGTGTGAGGCAATTATAAGTAATTAGAGAAAAGAAGAAAAAGCGGTGTATGGTATTTATAGATTTGGAAAAAGCGTATGATACCGAGAGAGGTTTTAATGTGGGCATTAATAAGAAAAAGAGCTCCGAAAAGGTACATGAATATAATAGAGGATATGTATGATGTCACTTGTACCTGTGTAAAAAGTGTAGGAGGAATAATAAAAGGTTTTAGGATAAGAGTAAGAATGCACCAAGTTTCTGCTTTAAGCCCTTACTTATTTTTTATAGTGATGGATGAAATTACTAGATAATTACAAAGAATATGTCGTTGTGTATGTTGTTATAAATTGAAAATTAGTGATTAACACTTACCATGGTGACTTCTATTTCAAAATTACTTTTTTCTCAAAATAAAATTATATGACTATAAAGTAATCGATTTATATAATTTACTTTTCATAAACCAATAAATACAACCATTATCTTAAGACATAATTTTTTTAAAAATAATAGTTACAGGGTATTTCATCGTGCTTTGACAAATCCTAACTTTAGATTTAATGTATATTTTTCATTAATTTTTTGAAAAAACTTGTTTATGCTTAGAATTATAATAATTTTACTATGTGTGAGAGGTACCGGGAACGTTGGCCAGCGCCTCTACAAGACTTCAACGTGCTCTCCGCTAGGGTCCTTACAGTTGGTTATGCTGGTCCTATATAATTGAATTACCACTAAAAGGACTAGCGGTTAGGTGACCAATAAAAAATAAAAGTCAATTAACAACGATAACGAGTGTTTATTTCTATATAAATATTACGTAAATTCTAACCTGTCTAGATCTCAAGAGATGTTATTGGTGATCCAAGTGAAATGAGTCGACGGCGACGAGCGTACACAGAACTCCGTCAATAATAATAATAATAATAATCACATCAGCGATAAGTAATTATGTTAATAAATAAGAATCAGATGCCTCAAGAATGGTATAATGCCCACTGATTTTGACGTATTTTTAATTAGTTAAAATAAGCATATAATCCATTCTGTTTTCACCTGCGCGTCGCATACTCATATTTAGGTTGTATTGATGTTTGTGCTGATTAATGAATGTAAATTGTTAATGTTAGTGGAGGACGAGTAATCTGTCCGTAACAATAAAATAAAATTTCAAAAAAATATTATATCACAAGTAATGAAATCGATGTTTCAACGATAATATATATTTTAAATATATTTTTACTTCAGTTATGAAATGATTATTTCCATGGAAAAAATCACATACGTAATTAATTGAATAATTAGTAAATTAGGATCGTCTTACTTCTATTCTTCTTTAATGAGCTGATACCAATTATTGATACCATAAAATAAACACAAGTTATTTTTTAATTTTTACAAATATTAAAACGTTCTTGAAATTTAATTACAAACAATTAAGAATAGCTTTGATTACTAAATTATTTTTAATAATCTTCTCTGTAAAACGGTTATCTTTTTATAAAATTAATTGTAATTTTTCAAAAATTTTATCAAAAAAAAATAAAACAATTCAACAAGTTTTGTAAAAAAGAAAGTATTAAAAAATATTCATTAGTTTAAAAACGTTATAGGATTTTTTAAAAATTAATGGGACACCCTGTATATTTAACTATAATTTGAAGCCTTCTAATGTATTATAAATAGTTTCTAGGGTTTAAATTAAAAATGATATTTGCTTACTAATAGTTTTTAGATTTATGTGACTACAAAAATAATTGTGTTTAAAATTGTTTCAAATGTATTAGTATGGTAACTAATTTTCTTTTTAAATTTAAACACCTTTTTCTAGATATTTTTGAAATGTATGTGTATAATGTTTTGCTAGATTTAAAAATACATTCACAAATATCACAAATAATTTATTGTTCTTAAATAGGCCAAACAATAATAATTTTTTTTTGGGGGGGGGGTAATGTCGTGGCAATATAATTCATTGATCGAAAATATTTTCAAATATATAAGTATTACATTGTATTATCTCTTTTTTATACAATTTGTTAATTAAATTAGTAACTATTATAAAATTAAAATGTTTCTATTGACTGGGTTATAGAAACGCAACGTTGGTATTGACACTTATGAGTTTATCAACAGATATACTTTTTTTATCGCCATTTGGTGTATTTAAAAATTTTAACTCACAATAATATGCCTTACTATCACACTTTAAGCATAATATAAAAAAGTCATATCTACAAATAGCGACATCATATAAAAACAATTAACTCCCTCTATCTTTAATCCCTTATATATTATACATCTATATTAACTAAAAATTTTGAAATATTAATTTTTTTTACCTAATAAACCAATAAAGTTATGTAAAAAATTCAAATGTCATGTACTATTAATTAATATAATGAAAATTCTATATAAAAAAAAAAAATAGAAATTTTATTTGGTATGTATATAAAAATACTAATTATATAATAGTATATTCTTGTAATATATTAATTTTTTATCAATACTGAATACCAATACTTAAGGTAAAATTTAAGTCAAAATATTATTAAATTGACTTCGATTTTTAGGATTAAATGATTTATTTAAGTTATAGTTTCAGTAGGATGGGACATACTACACCACTCATTTAACAGTTGTCTTATTCAAGAAAAGTTTTAAGACTAGTATTCTCTTTGTGTGGTCATAAAGATTGACTTTTTTTATGGGGCTTTCTTATGTACACCAAAAACCACAAACGATTGCAAAATTTAATTGAAAATTATACGAGTCGTTTCAGAAATGTAGGCTGATGTTTGCAAGAAAGATATCAATAATTTTGTTAAACATATTAACGACTGCCGAATTAGTAGAGGAAGACATTATGTCAGATATTTTTCATCATTAAACCGAATATGTAAATGTTAATAAATATATAAAAATAAATGAATTTACTTTAAAATTTGACTAATTTATTTATTCATTCAAAATGTCACACTTTATGAGACACTAATTGTTTGTTATATATATTTAAATGTTAACGAAACAAAATTAGTTTGAACATAAGGGTATTTATTCAAAAATCAGGAATTTCGACAAAATAATTTATATAAATGTAATTTAATATTTGGATTTTCCAAGTGAAGACTCCAGTACCATTAATTGTGTTTGTTGTTCATTTATCGAATAGTTCCACTGATTTTTTTTAACTGAAATAAACAAAAAAAACAATTTTGTATTAGCTATTTTAGCAATCGTGATCGTCGTTCATCAAAAATTTCTACATGCGAGTTACGCTTGATGTTTACTTACTGTGTATCATTACAAGTTCATAAAGATTATTAAGGTATTTTTTACAGGGGAAATGCTTATTATCGTTTCTAAAAGATGGATATGAATGTACTAAATTATTATAGAGATTTTGCAGTGCTTTCACTAAATATCTTGAATTTCTAATGATATGATACTATGATTGCATAGAACTGTATAATTCATTTTATTTCACTTAAAATATTTTTTGTTGAATAAGTATACAATACATTGTTTACTCATTAAACCTATAAGTTATACTTGTTTGAAAGTTGAAGCACTTTAGTTTTAAATGCAAATACTTATTATGGTGCATTTTTTAGTGTGGTTAATCTAATTAGAATAAACACATAACTTTTTATAGTTTTGTTTTACATGCAATTAAGATAGTTAATACCACCTCCCGACTAACAAAAGACATCCGCGAGCATGAGTAGTCTGTTTTTCTGTAAAATGACAGTGATTGGTCGGTCTAGTATGTTATTATCTGTAAAATTATCATTTATATAAATTTTTTTTTCGAAGTTGATCATAATCGTCTGCATGTGTATCACTTAGTTCATTTATTACATCTTCAGTTTCGTGTTGTCCGTTAAAACATGATTTGGCACAACAATTTTTACAAGCAATTGATTACTTTAAACCTTATTTCTATATCCACATATTGTTCCACAAATACAAGAAATTTTTTCTAAAATATTTTTTGGAGCTCGATCATTTTTTGAAAATATAATTTGCAAACCTTTTTTAAACAATATATAATTTCTTTTAATCATAAAACAGTGTCAAAGCCGCTAAAAGCGTGCAAAAATAAAATAGATTTTTTTAATAGAATTTGTTAAGTTAAAAACAATTTATTTTTCATTTTTTCTCTTTTCAAGATTTTAGAAAATTATATCAATATTTACAGGCGTAAGAGCTATTAATAAAACAAGTTGATCAAAATTCTCTCTTATTACAATCGCATTTTTTTTCAGAGCTAGTTTTATTGTTTCATTTATTATAACAATATTAGCATCATCAGTAGTATAGCAGCCTTGGTGGTAAATGGCTTCAGCAGCTACAAGATCAGATCCACTAACAATTTTTTTTCCATATAGCTTTACCGATCTCATTATTTTACTCTATAGCTTTTTAAATATATTTTTTTTGTAGAGTTAAACTTAGTACATAAAATATTTAACGGCATTTTGTTTTATTCGGCTTTCAAATAATCATAATTTATTATTTCATCAGCATAAAAAAAACACATTTCTTTGAAATTAAATTTGATTATTGTAAATCGCAAATAATTTTTAAAGGAAAAAACAGCGAAAGTTTCATCATACATATTTATACAATTGGTTTTAAACAATCAATTCTCTCACAAATAGCTTACAACAATTAGAGTGAAGTTGAACAATATCCAGATATTTTAAAATATTATATTTTACGTAATTGCGCACCAAACTAATATTAATTAAATGTGTTATACTCCGTCGATTGACATATACAGAATTATTTTTTGACCATGCGATTAAAAATATTGATAAAAATTCGTATTATTGAGTAATTAAAAAAAACCAAAACACAAATTTTGAAAAATACGATGTTAGGGTCAAAAATAAACACAATATTACTGATTACAAATAGTAGAAAATTTGAAAACATCGTTAGATCACTATTAATAATAATATAGAGCATAATAGAAAATATTGTGCATAAAAAGTCTAAAAATATCTTTTAACTAAAGATACTGTTGTAATAATATTAATGTAAATATATTATAACCCATACAGCATAGTAATTAATGTCAATTATGAATTCACGTTAGCACGAGCCAAAACAGTTAACATCTAAATTGGTAATTTTGCAGTACACACGAATAAGTCGTACTCGTTGATGTCTTTTGTTATTGAAACGTTAGGCTCACAAAATTATATTGAATCAAATTTGTTTAAATTTTGCATTCTGTAATTTTGATTTAAAACACGCTTTTGTTGAAGATAAAAAACCATGTTATCAAAACAAAAAAAACTACTTTTTCTTAACAAACTTTAAGGTGAAATCAATTTACATGTCTCGATAGTTTTCAGCGACAAGGTCAATTTCTGTTAAAATTAATTTCATGTCTTAAAACATTTTAATTTACAATAGGAAACATTATCAGTTACAATGTTGAGCACGTCCGTGAAAATTAATATAATTATATACATTTACTGTCACTTTTACATGTCATGTTAGCTACAATCGTACTTGTGAGAGCATTTACAAATAAAAGACCAACCAAAATGTATTATATGTGTTAATAGGTATGCTTCATTATTGTGTAAATTTGGTAACACATTGCTCGTTTCTTACTGACTTCAGGTGTATCCTTTTAAACGCGCTTACTTTTAGAGAAACCGTGCAATGATGCAATGCTTAAAAATTTAAATAAGCATAATATACAATTTTACAGGTAATCTATCGACGCAGGCTAAATGAGCACATACATAATATCTCGGTTGAAATGTTTCATTTTCAACTACACACGGTTCATTCTATAAATTGTTTGTATTTAAATCTGTCCTTTACACTAAACTTTCACATAGCAATAATACCATACGGTGTGTTTATCTCGAAACTGAAAACTACAGAAGCAATTTTGACCCTATGAGTTATATTTAGCTTGTCCATAGCGTTCAAACACGTTAAAAAAGTGAAATTAAACGTGTAAAAATATGAATAATCTACATTCATTATGCTACGAAAGTTTTTACTAATCTCAATGTTATAATATAAAAACAACAAAAATAATCATAAAGTTGATGCAACATCAAAATTGCTATTATATGAACATTGTTTATTATAGTTTAATTGTATATATACCACTTTCTCTTATAGAAATTCATCAATGGTTAACGTGTTGTTATGATCATTTTTTGTGTGCCAAAAAATAAAACAAATAGAAATTCAATTATATTATTTTGTGCCAATATTAAAAAATATAATTATGGGTTTACAAGGGTTTAAACAATTTATTATTTAAGGCATGTACTAAAAGGTAAATACGCATACTATTTGCATCATATAATTTTTGCCATATCTTGTCATGCCATAAATAATAATACATCTATTTATATGTGACAAAAGATATTTTTGTATCTTACATTTTTTCAAAAATAGAAATAATCTAACTTAAATCGAGTAACACATATAATTGAGTTAGTCCAAATAAAGTTCATAATATTTTCTTTGAAAATCATCGTTCGTTTTTTACAACAGATCCTCATTATACAGAGTGTTAGGTAAGTAAGGAAACGGGTTTCTATTGTTCTTATTGTTTGTAATAACTAACCATTTTCTTACTTACTGAAAACCCTGTATATGTTTATGCCTAATATGGGAGTCATAAAAAATTGAAAATGAAATGAGGAGTTGTCGTGGTAAGTAGTTTAAAAAGCATTGTCGTACAATATTTAATTATTTATAATATTTATTCGATTAAGGTTATAACATAGATAGCTATTTATAAATAGAAGAATTTAAGTATACATAATTTTAATAGTTGTATACATTAAATTTATTATGTAATTTAGTTTTTATAAAAGGAGAGATAACTTTTTCGTTGATTCTTGGTTATCGTTATCGTTATTGATTCCACAGGTAAGTTATTGTTCTGGCTCGTTTGGTCGAATGAGGTATTCATAGGTAAATCATGTGTACCCTATCAGGCCTGTTTATTATTATTTCATGGCTTTTTTTTTTTTGGGATGGTATTAGCTTAGGTAATATAGAAGATTTCATTTTGTTTAATTTCGCGTTATCCAGTGTATTACTCAGCTTTAGTAACACTCATATAATATATATTCTCTTATTATTTTTTTTAATATTGTATTTAGAGAACAAATTTGAATTGATATTAAGTAGGAGAGCTTAAATAGACGACTTGGTTTTATGATTTCAAATGCGTTATTTTATTATTATTTTATTTTTGTTGTGTATTACCACAGCTCTTACTCAAATCTTTGTTTTTGATCCGTAAATGGAAATATTATATAGAGTGCTCAGTAAGTAAGAAAATAGGTCAATTGTTATAAACAATGAAAACAATAGAAATCCGTGTCATTACTTACTGAACACTATATAACCATGGAAATCAAATATTGATGGGACTTAATTTGTGTATGTTACGATTAGGGTTTGATTCTAAGTATGCCCAAAATCTACTCTCAGAAAAATGTTGTCTTCAATAAAGTTGATAATTGTTATGGTTCATAAAAATAAATCAAATTGTAATCAGTATTTCACGAAAAGTGGGAAGGGGGTTGTTATTCTTAATAAATCACATTTTATACTATAGGAACTCACAATATGAGAAAATTTCGATAATAAACTGTTAGTGTGATAATTAATTGAAAACAATATTAGTAAATTATTAAGACTTTATTTTTAAATAACCAATAATTATTAAAACTAATAATAATAATATTAAATTGTTATACTTAATTGTACTCCTAGACATAATACAACTGTGATTCATGACATTTAAAACGGAATTTATTTTAGACAATAAAAAACATAATGATCGTGACTAATGATATATTACTTACTCATTTACCAAAAGGACATTAATATGCCAAGTTTAGAGAAATTGTATTTGCTATTTTTGATTTAATTGCTTAGATACGTAAAAAATATGTTTTCACTTATTTGTCCGAAAAATACTTATTTTAAAGTATTATATTCCAACGATAGTCATTAATCAATAAAGGGTTTTATTTCCGAAAAAAAAACAACACTATTTCTTGTTTATTTGATATATAGCATAAAGACTCTGATGACATTACAATACATTTCAATGATATATTTTGAATGAAGGCATATTTTTAAACATTATGCAACGTAATATTTTTTTCGTGATAGTTACGACGTAATTTCAAAGTTTTTTGTTTATTTTATTATTTATTTAATAAAGTAACAAATAACAATTTTTATATGTGTCTAAAAACCATAAACATTTAACATTAAAAAAAATGTTCTATCTATGTAGGTTCAATGTAATTTATACTAATATTATCAACCGGTAGTCATTAGAACAAAAATAATTGGTATAAAAATAAAAAAAATCCGAGTAATTTTTACAAATCTTCTTTAGATAATTAAAAAAATTGGTAATCTAAAATCTCTTAAAAAATATATAGATTTTGGAAATTTTGGCACAGACGTTTAGTTATAGGCTCACAGATGATTAATGATTTTAAGCAACATGTATCTTAGACTTCTGAAATAAAACATAACATCATTAAGTTAGGCACATATTATAAATTAATAGAGTATCTTGGGGTAACTTATAGATTATTAACCTGAGGTAATTTAGTGATTTTGTAATTTAATATCAAAACATTTTATTATGATGAGTAAAAATATATTTTGCCACTTAGGAATAAATTTTTTTCTCAAAAAACAATATTTTTCAATAGATAAGATTATTACATAAACATTGAAGTAAATATTATTAGATTACTTTTTATAATTTAATAAAATAATATATAAAACTCAATTATTTTAAAATTAGTATAAAACGATTCTATTTGAGTAATGTTGGATTTTTACACCAAATGAAAAATGTTTGTTTTAAGTATGCTAAAAATTGTGTGTGGAAATAAATGTTATCATTACTCAATAATATTGATTAATAAAAATATTATATATCTTATAAAAAAAATTCAACTATTATTAAATTGTTTTATAAATTTAAAATAGTATTGTTAAAGAAAGAATTATGAGAAAAGTATAAAAAATTTTGTAATCCTTACAATGTATTCAATGTTATCTTTAATAATTTATAATGATTAAAAAACATGTAAACATGACCTAAGATTTAATATTCATCGAGCATCGGTTCATAACTATAAAATAAAATAAGTTCATATCTCTGATGTTAACAATTGTTAATTTTACTCAATATTACATTAAATAATCGTATACCTTAATAATCTAATAACCTAAGTATAATTTTACTTTGTTTTTATTATGAGTATAAGATGTTATGAAAAAATGATGTTTTTTTTAGGTAAAGTACAATCAATACATAATTAGTTATTAGGGTGACTCAAAAAAAATCGATCTTCGTAATGTTTATGAGATACCTCATAAATGTATTATATACATTAAAATAAACATTTTATGAAAATTTGAGATTAAAAAAAAAATTTTTACAGGTCGCTCAACGCGTTTTAAGAAAATTGACCAAAAATACTCAAAAAAACATAAAATGTCATTATTTATTCAATTTTTGTTCAAATTTCTTACTTAGTACATCTAAATTGTTCGTTTTTTAATGCCGAATAATAATAATTAGAAAAAAAAATTGTAAGTCCAAAACTGATTGCGTAAAGTCCATAAAAAGCTCAAAAATATGGTTAAGTTCAACGAACACTTAAGTAAACCAAAAAATTTTTTTTTTTCATTTTTTTTTTTTAATTTGATTAATATTTGTGTGTATATTAAGAGGAAAAAATTTTTTCCACTAATGTTTAAAACTACTACCTTTTTTTTNCGTTTGTCTGTAGGCCTCACATAACGTCTTTAAATTGCCTGCTGGAGGACAAGTTCATCGACAGGTAGTGTGCCTAATGCCAAGGGTAACAATCGTAACGACTGCAACGTCTGAAAGTAAAAGTGTCTTGGAATCTTCAGCAAAACAAGTGGGAGAATTCATCGGTTGTTTTTGCCAACTATATATTCACCAAGACATTACGATGAGTTTCTCATAATGCCGACCGCGAAGGATCATCGCAGACGAAACGTGATTTTTAGTATTTTAGTATTTTCTTTTTAATTTGCTTTACTGTTACCCAAAGCAAAAATATTGGATTACTTTTTTCCAACTATTTAAAATATGACGTTGAAAACAAAGCCGGTAAGACTATATAATTAAATAAAAAAATGTCGATCAATATAAAATTTAAAAAATACAATTTAAATTTATATTCATTTAAAAAGTTAACGTAAACCCATTATATTAATGCTATTTTTTCGGACGTATAATAATAATAATTAACTAAGAAGGTACATGTTATATAGTTATAAGATGAATCATTCAAATTAAACTATTTAATAACTAATTTTATCAAGCATTTAATTAAAGTATAGATATTCTATTAGATCTAAGTTCATAATAAAAATATTATTTAAAAAGTTACATTTCAAAATTATACAAAGAGTATAATGTATTGACACTGAGTTATTTAAAATATTGCATAATATCTTTCCTATTATTATTAATTTATTTGAATGAATTATTTTATTTTATTATATATAATTAGTACAATATAATTTATTTTAATTGAAAAAATATAAGCATACTTGTATCATACAAATATGTTGATTTAAATCTAAGAGTTATTTTTCATGTATTTAAAAAAAAATTGAATTTAGTCTTAACAATCAAATATTTAAGAGTAAATTGAAAAGTTATATTACAAAAGAGTTTCAAGAGTCATCAATAAAAAAAAA